CTGGCTAAAAGAGCCAGAAGCCCCAGCATCTGGTGATTCATACGTGTCAAGCCTTGCGGGCGAATGTATTCCTCGAGATGTTGAAACTGTTGAACTCATGAGGTAAGCAGGCACACTTCTAAGCAATCGCCACAATCAATAATCGTGAGAAACAATAGATAGCCTGCACATGCAAAGATGAATAAAGATTAATTCTGCCATTGCCAATACCAAATTCCACATAGGATGCTTCAAATAGAAGAAAAGAGTTGACATCGGATGCTAAAGCTGTGGAGGGAGGGGAACAATTGCTCATAAGGAGCAAAACACAAAAAGTTCTCAAATACAAAAGGGACCAGATCCTAAGAATCCAGAAACATAAGAATGATTGTTCTGCAGGGCAGTATATACTTAACAACATCAAACTGAAAGCCTCTAAGGAAGCTAAGAAGGGATGAATCAGATCAAATGCTAAATCAATATAAACAATAAGTTTCTAGAAAAAGCAAAAACTTGTAGAATGCTATAGCAATTATCAACCTCGTGAAGAACCCCACAACGCCCCTCCTATTTTTCAGAGCAAATCTCCAATTCCCATTACCAAATTCACCAAATTTTATTCATAACTTAGAAAATCTCCATTAGAATAAGCACATTTCCCAGAGAATTGTCGTCAACAATCAAGCAATCACAAGACTACGGCTAGTAAATCTCGACCACCAGAATGACAAACAGAAATCATATACGAAAAATGAAAAACCATTGCAAATTTTTCCGAACTTACACTTTCAGCAGCCTTTCACAATGATCAGCGGAAGTTCAAATCCTTCGTACAGCTGCAAATCTTCCATCGGAAGAAAAAAAAAACACAAATAAGAAAGTAATTATATAAAAGGAAGAAAAAGAAAAAGAGGGGACTGGCAACGCATGAAACCAACGGAATGAAATGGAATCGAAATTGCATTCAGAGCGAGAGTCAATTGCTGAATTTCGATGACTGACCTTTTCTAATCTGAGACAGACGGGCCATATCT